TCACTACTTCTCACTAGAACTCCAGGAGTATCTCCTGAAGTCAGTCACTATTGAGCAGGTGATTATTATTATACGAATGCGTTTTGTGGAGATTTTTAGAAATTTCAGTTATCAATATGAATGTAATAAACATTAAATTAAATAACATAAGCAATCATCTAATATTTGCCTTTCTCTAATTAATTTTCCTGATTTGATAGAGTCAATCATATAATGAATGAACTACCCGATTTCTCTGATACTTTTAATTGTCCAGTTGGAACACTGATGAATCCTAAAAAGCGTTGTCGTGCAGCACTCTAGTGGTATTTATCGATAAATCTATTTTTCACATAAAACAATTCTTGTTCTATTTTTTAATTCATACACACAAGGTTTTATGTTATAGTATCCATTCAAACTGAAAACGATTTGTATATCTACACATGATCTAAATGAAATGGTAATTCAATCTGATTACTTTAAACTCTATTCACCAGAAATTGTTTACATAGACTTGTATTGATGAAATTTCTCTCCTTGTAATTTTATAAACATTCGTACTTTTCTTTTTAATATTATCTTATAATTAACAAGAAGGGGGGCTCCATAAGATGTTTAGATACTTGATTTACCAACAATATTTAACAGATCATAGCTTACCAAGCCCAATTCTTTTGTTTATTTTATAAAGTGAAAATATAATGCATCAAGTTGAAAATTTGAGTCGAGCTATATGAAATAGCAAACTATTTTAGTGATCCGTGAATATCTGACTCCAATTTGATCGTGTGATTATCATCATCGTCTTACACAAGTTGCCAAGCTTCGCATATAATTATCGACTTAACTCGCGTTAGTAAATAACAGAATTAAGTCAAATACGAGAATGCAGTTTTGAATAAGTATATTTTGAACAATCGTTGATCAGAACAGACAATCAGAGGGGAGATGGAGTGAAGAGAAACGGATTGGAGAAAGCATGTGAGCCAAATCACTTTAATTAAGTGTTACTCAATATTTATAGTCAGACAAAAATAAGTTAGACATGTGATGAGTAAGATGAGAAATGTACACATACGCTCACATAAAAAGTCAAGTTGACAGGCAAATAGTTAGTAAGGTCAAAATGTGTCTCAAAAAGGATGAATAAATTGATCTGTCCGGAAGGTAGAATAAGCTGTGTAGGCTTGACACAGAAACTGACACCACACTTTCATAAAATCACGTCACAGAGTGAAATTGGAGAAATGATTGAAATCTATAGGGGCATTGGACAATCGTTTTGTTCATTTTAGACTCCTCAGTGGCATATATCTACGACTCCACACAGGACTGAAGAAAGAATCTTGAGATCACATAATATGCATCAAGCATTTAAACTGATGAGTCTGAATTGAATGGACCACATAAATGGCCTACTTATAAAAATTAGACGAGTAACAATACGTTTCGTGAAATACAGTGAAATAATTGTGCACGCTACCGTGTACTAGACATTGAAGAAATTCAGTTTATCGTTAAATCAGAACATCCGAGATGAAATTCGAATACATAACAGTCAAAAGGTTTAAAGACCGCACACAGGAAAGTAGTCAAGACACAAATCTAGCCACCATATTGCCAGTTAGCAGGACCACCGGTTGTTGAGTCCACTTCAAGTCAAATAACACTGTTGACCTTCGTTTTATGCGTTATGCTCGGTAAGTATACTGACGCTGACTAGCCCACAGAAATTATTTCTGCCCTCAACCTGCTTAATCATAAAACTAAGAAAACCAGCCGACTTTCTTCGATAATTGTTTTGTTACGACTAAAAAAGTAATAATAAACATCGACCGCAGGATCACAAACTCGCCATAAGTAGAAAATGACTAGGTCATTTCTAAAAGAAATCTAAGTAACAGGCACATAATTAGATGTAATTTGTAGCTACTAAAACATAAATCGAGTTAGCGAGTTGTTTTAAAGCCTGCAGTGTGAGAGTATTAAGAGGTAACTTCTAATGTAAGATAAAAATGAATGACATAGTTAAGTAGAAATACTAATGAGTATTCATCGTCAGGGTATAGCAAACTTTGGGGTTCGATTTTATCTCCTAACAGAAATGACCTCTAAGAAGCAGAGTGTAGAACAGTCATATTGCCGAAGGATTACTGTTAAGGCACACACGACATCTAATTTACGAGTAAGACCAAGTCGATTATGAATGTTTACAATATTGATATTACATGGTTCACTCAGACAAATACATTTCTGGGCATACTGTGCAGAGTTTACTTTGATCAAAACATTTTCAAGTATTGACAAAATACCACTCCAAGTTTTTTAATTAATTAGCACCTTCCCATCTTACTATAGAACACTATTTTAGCAAATAAAAACTGACTATAAATAAGATTTAATATTGGTTTTCGAGTATCTTGGTAACAAATTTTAAGTTGTGCAATCACCCTCCTTATGTAAACACCACGATTTCCCTACCAACATCTTTACTAAACTGAGTTTAGTGTATTCAACAAGACTACTACTTATTGTTTTTAGAGTTTACGAATGGACGATGAGCTTTACAACGTTGAAGTAGGTTAGCATTTTAATTGTCATATATTAACTGACATATTACCACGGAGAAAGTAAGTACGATAAGTTGATGAAAAAGCCCAATTCAAGTGAACTCTAATAATTGAATTGAACATTAAGCCGGATAGTATAAAGGCGAAAATTCCCGTTTTCAATTATTTCATCAATCAAATAGCCCCAATGAACTTGAATGTGAACTGGTATCCTCGGTAACAGGTGTAATCGTTAGTTGATTTCTAATCATGTAACTGCCTAACATTACCCTTTTTGCTTGACAGTAAACGAATTATATTTTACCAGTATTTAGAACATAATTTTTATCATCAAACATTTTAATGTAAATAAATTACGAAGTACATGCTTATGTGATAAGTCTTTAGATTTGAAGTCAGTCAGTCAGTAACAACTTAGAACTTCGTACGTACGTACATCAGTTCGAGTTGCCATACCACATTGGCACAGAGATGCAGTGGTCGATTCAAATCCCGTAGTGGTAGAGGTAATAGGAGTATAAGCAGTAATCGGGAAAATTAGCGTTTGGAGATGTTATTCAAGAGTATAATACAGTGAAATAAATTTGGGAAGAGAAAAAAGAGACAAGGAGGAATAAGGAGATCAAAATTTGGGAGAACACAAAGAGTGGATGCACTTGCGCCATTGCAAACGATTTTGAGCCATGTCATTCAACGTCTCTAACCATCGGTTGCTATCATCTCGCGGTCCCCAACCAGGTAGTCTACACCTACCAACATGGCTCAGTTCACTTGTCAGTGACTTCATGGATTTGTGCCATGTTTTGGTCTGGCCGCCCCTAGCTTTCTTCCAACCTACTCCTATACCACCGAACATAGCACGTCGAGGCAGTCGGTCGTTGGGCATACGTAACACGTGTCAAAGCCATCTCAACTGATGAAGTTTCACTACTTCATCAATTGATTTGCCATCCTTACCTAGTACCCGTTTCCTAACAACTGCATTACTTACTCGATGGTCCCACGATATACGAGCAATATTTCGAAGACACCTATGATCAAATACTAATAACCTACGAATATCCTCTACTCTTACCGGCCATGTTTCACTGCCATAAGTAGGACGGAACGAACTGCTGCACAGTAAACCGTCCTTTAGTTGGTAGACGGATATCTCGTCTAGCATAAATGACGCAAGTTGCAAAAGCTAGTCGAGCCTTCTGTATCCGTGCTGAGATTTCGTCACACACCAGACCACAAGGGCTGATGAGACTTCCAAGATAAGTGAAGCGATCGACACGCTCATTACTTCACTCCCTATCATTTGAAATGAGCCACAAACTCAGTTTAAAATACCCAGTGTACAGATGAAATAAATCGGCAATATAAAACTATTATTGGAAAAATAAACTTCGTTCATATAATTGTGTTTTAATATAATGGGGATTTTTCATTGATTAATATAAAACTGTTATGTTGCTTCATTAACGTTTATTGGATAACAACCAGTGACCAAATAGTTAACATAATACAACACTGATTAGTCGAAGGATTGTCAATTTAGTAGCGTTCACCTTTCAGGCGTAGAATCGAAATCCTGAGACTCCAAACAATCCTGAGCATCTGTTTGTATATTTAATTTGGTTCATGATACCTTAGTATTTTCACAATTAAAAACCCATATCCCAGTCACTTACTATTTTGGAAGCTTTTGTCATTCATAGATTACAGTTAAACGACTAAATACATTACCCAGATTTGTATTGCAGATGTCCCCGTAATGTACCTACTGAGATTTATTATTCGTGTTACGTTTATAATCAAGAAAAAACGGGGTAACATATTTTATATTATATGCATAACACCTGAATAATTAAACTCACTGTTTTTGGGTGCGTGAGCAAGTCAGAACAACACCCCTGAAGTTACTACAAGAGTCTACGACCACCCAAAATCAAATAGATAATCATCATAAAGAACATAGGACATAGGTATATCAGTCCAATCTACTGTTATCTCGTATAGTTCAAACAAACTATATTGTTCAACTTCTCATTACCTATTGGAGCAACGTCCTACCTATCACTGCTTATGTAGCATTAGTACGGTTTACAAGCACGTACTTATGGTGTTGTAGGTTCAGCATTTGAGGGGTAATTGTAATTTGGCAAGAAATGTGACAGCGAACAAGAAGTTAATGTAAAAATACCCCTCCTAGTTATTGTGTCATATATGTATTGAATGTTATACAAACAGATAACTGATAAATATTACAGACTGACGAAAACGAAAACGAAGCATCACTATAAACGCTTAAGTCTGTAAACAAGTAAATCACACAAAAGAACAATGTAAATCATTCTTCGGAACAATATTTACTCTCTAAATAATGAAACAGAAGGATGAAGCGCAATAACTTTAGCTAAGAATGTGTATATTCACCACTGTCAAAAATAAGAACCCAAACAATTAATCATCGCGAATTCGAAAATCAATACACCGCTTCTTAACTATTCTGCTTATCCTCATCTTCTTTTTCATCTTTTTTGAACTTCTCTGTGACTGGGACTTAGTTAGAGCATCTATAGCCTTGCGAACATCTTCATTCTGAGTATCCACACCAGGCAAACTTTGTAAAACCGATTCCAAAAACTCAGCATCGTACATAACGTCCAAGTCAGCAGATGTAGGGACAGTTGACGAGTTGAAAGCTGATGTTGCAGCTGCCAATGTACCGGGATTAGGAGATAATTTCTGATTTTCAGTGACTTTAGTTGGAGTCTGATCTATATCCATAGCCACACCAGAGGGTTCAACAATAGTCTGTTGAAAGTGAGACATTGTAGAGCAATGATGAAAATTCAAAGAAATATAACCACACTAAAATAAACTAGATTGTTAACAAAAACTCAGACTGTTTATTTAAGCCCTTCTGATTAGTCCGCAGAAATACAACAATAAGCGAGTTATTCATAACCAATGTAGGATCTAACGTGTATGGGTCTGCTCAAGACACACCACATTAGCACCGCAGGATAAGACTGCTAGATCCAAGAGTAGTAACAGCAGAAAAAGAAACAGGGTATACAATTTCGAGATTCAGTAGTGAATGGACCTGCGCCATTATGGACAATTTTGAGCCGTATCATTTAAAGTCTTTAACTATTGGTACAATAATCACATAGACCCTAAGTGGGCAATCTAATCGCCAGTTAATTCATAGACCGATGCCATGGTGTCGTTTGACCGCCCATAACTTTGCCCAAGCCTACTCCTGCACCAGAAGACATCCCCGTCGAGGTACGTGGTGGTTGAGCGTACGTAACACATATCCCAACCACCTCAATTATTTATTTATTTGAACACATGAATATTGGTACAAGAGAGCGCCAATATATATGCGCCACACAAAACAATGAGAATTCGAAGAGAAATAGAAGAAAAAAGGGAACAACAACGAAGAGATTGGTGTAAGGTAGTGTGGTAGTAATGAGGGAACGGAAAGGTACAATCAGAAGAAATCTTTCAGGTAAGGAGACACAACCACTTTTTATGAAGAAAGTAAAAGAAGGTTACAGCAGGATCGCCACTGGCTTCTATTCTGAGCCATATCTGATAACGTCTCTAGCCACTGTGTAGCACCATCTCTCAGACCCCAACCAGGGAGTCGTGAAGGACCAACACAAGCCAGTCCTTTGCAGCTTTCTTTCATGCCACGACACCATGTCATGCACTGACCACCTCTCCGCTTCTTCCAACCAGTCCCAGAGTCGGCAAATAATGCACGACGTGGAATTCTCTGGGACGACATTCGGAGAACATGTCCAAGCCACCGAAGTCGGTGTTTCAAGATGGTGACACCAATTGATTATCATCTCTGTGCCCGAACACACGATGCCGAACCTCTGCATTACTGACATGGTGTTGCCACTGAATGTCAGCAATCCTTCGGAGACAGCGATGATCGAACACAGAGAGTCGTCTAACGTCCTCAACTCGGAGAGGCCAGGTTTCACAAGCATAGAGCAAAACTGCTCTCACCGACGCGTTGTAGATCCGACCTTTTACAGCCAGACTAACATCACGAAGGCGCCAAAGGTGGCCCAGATTGGCATAAGCCGCTCTGGCTTTCACTATTCGTGCATTGATCTCATCACTCACACCCCCACCAGCACTTATGCAGCTACCCAGATACACGAACTTCTCGACTACGTCTATCTGCTCACCATCCAGGGTGAGTACAGGATTAGAATCCTGCCAGTCTTGTAGAAGTACTTTGCACTTCGAAGGTGCAAAGCACATACCATACCTACGGACACTGATTGCCAACTGATTAAGTGCGGATTGCATGCCTTGGGCATTATCGCACAGTAAGACAATATCGTCCGCATACTCAAGGTCGAGAAGTCTTTCTCCAGGCAACAGATCCACACCACCATTACTTACATTCATCAGAGCTGTTTCCAGAATGTCATCGATGGCAAAGTTGAAGAGGAATGGTGAGATTGGGCAACCCTGCCTAACCCCACTGCTCGAATGGAACAATGGAGAGAGGTGGTTGTATGCCCTCACTCTGCCTGAGGTGTTTTTATATAGGGCTTTTAGGATGTTAATAAACTTCTCAGGCACACCCTTCTTCAATAGACAATCCCAGAGAACAGTCCTGTCCAACGAATCGAAGGCAGCCCTGATGTCAAGAAACACTACGATTGTTGGCCTTTGATAAGTATGGCGGTGTTCTAACATTTGGCGGAGGGTGAAGATATGATCAATACATCCTCGACCAGAACGAAACCCAGCCTGCTCCTCGCGAGTCAATCTTTCTCGGGTTTTGAACAACCTACGAAGTATGACGGAAGCCAATAGCTTGGACGCAATCGGAAGTAGACTTATCCCCCGATAGTTGTTACAGGAACGACGTGAACCCTTTTTAAAGATAGGGACAACTATCGACTCATTCCATGACGTTGGTACACACTCTAGTTCCCAAACCTTTGTAAACAACGTCGTCAATTCCTTAGTCAAAAAGTCACCACCATCTTTAAAAAGAGCCGGAGGTAAGTCATCTGGGCCAGGTGATTTGTAACGCTTCAAGAGTTGGAGTTCCTTGCGGACTTCCTCCTCATTTGGTGGATCAGTCGTCACCGGCCATGGAGGGCAGGACAGTCTGACCGATGTTGCCGGAGCAGCAGGCCAGTTGAACTGCCCTTCGAAAAATTCTGCCCATCGTCCAAGACGTCGATGGATGTTAGTGATTGGCATCCCATCATCCTCGCAGATTGTTTCACTCACACCAGACTTCTTGCTGCCAGTGGCTCGGATGAGCTGGAAGAGCTTCCGGTAGTTACCAGATGCAGCTGCTGCTTCCAGCTCATTAGCACGCATCGACCACCAGGCTTCTCGGTCCTTACGCAAGCTTTGCCCAATTTCCTTACGTAACATCCTTCGTTTATGGTCAAACTCACGGTCACCCGGAGTAGACCGACGGGCTTCAATGAGTTGTAAGGAACCAGAAGAAACCCAGTGCTTAAAGCGGGACGTTTCGCAAACCCACAACTGACTGTTCCCGCCATTTTCATGGCGTCATGCAATTGCAACCAATGCTCATCTATACTTTTCGGTGGAGTGGTAGCTAGCCTAGAGGCTAGCTCGGTTCGATACTTACTTGCAACAGAAGTTGCAACCAGCTTGCTAACATCAATCCGTTGATGGCGGTCACTTCGTTGTCCACTGAAAAGTAAGGCAAGATTGGCGCAGACCAAGGCATGGTCAGAGTCCAGATAGGTACTCCAAAAGGAGCGGCAGTCTTGTACACAACCACGCCAGCGGTAGCTGATCGCGATGTGATCAATCTGAGTCCAGGCTTGAGATGCAGAGGGAGGACGCCAGGTGGCACATCGGCGATGACTGTGCCGAAAGTTAGTGCTAGCCAGAAACAGGTTGTGGTCTGTGCAAAGTTGCAGTAGACGGTCCCCGTTATCTGACCTGCGACCAACGAGTCCCCATCGGCCACCTAAACGACTCTCTTCTGTGCCTAGACGCCCGACCTGAGCATTCAAGTCTCCGGCTAGTAACGTTTTATGAACTCGAATCATTAGCATTGGTGGCGCGTGGTGATCAAGATATACGAGGAGGGTTAGTTGTGGGGATGGGAAAATTATTAAGAGGTGAGGGAAGGGTTCAGTCTTCAGTAAGATGGTCCCGGGTGCCAATAGTTCTGAGTGTGATAATCACTTCCCGATTTTCCACACCGTCGAATATTACTTCTTAGGGGATCTGAAGAAGTCGAATTAGTAGCAGTTTTAGCGATCTAGGAGAGTGACCCCGGACTCCATGAGACAACCACTTGGAACCGGTGGCCCACGGTCTTTTATGGGAAGCTTTTGATGTGTTAGCTTATTATTTTAGGTTTTAGCGCTCGAGACGGAAACCCATGAGGTAAGGTGAGGTGTAAAATTTCTGTAGTCGATTTTTTCTAACCTCTCCCGGTGTGAGACAGCATCGCTGCAGATGCAGACTGTCTGATGCAAACACTACTACTATCACACTCCACTACAGTCAGTAGTACGACTTTGCTGTCGGACCTCGGGCATGGTTATCGTGATAACTTAATTGAGCTATATTGGTTAGGCTATCAAATCAACTGGCTTATCGCTGTTACCTGGCACTTTACGCCCTGAATAAGGGATACCCACCTGCTGGTAATAATTTGTAGACACTGGCGAACTAATATTACGAAAATGACTGATTTTCTATTTTTGGTAATGGGTGACGAAATTACATTAATCAGGAGTCTATTGAGTGATGAGATTCCAAGTGTCATTTAATTCGGTTTAGGTGACTGGGTAGTGATGCTGAATAAAGTGTAGTACAAAGCCCAGTACACAAATATTTACTTGATAAGTTGCATCACATCAAATTTAATGGATAGAAGCTAAAGAGCCAACAATATTTTTGTTTGAGTAGATTAAGATGTTCCCAAATCACTTGCCGACATATTACGTCAATATTGTTAATTTACAGGAAGTCGCTTGTGCACATGATTCCAACAGAATTTATGAAGTAGTCCCTAATCAATCGGATGAAGTTACTTCTCGAGGGAATATCTGCGACAAAGTTCAATAGAAATGGGAAGAATGGGTATTTTTGACATTAGTCGTTTGACATACTCGCACCAAATGGTAGCTTGTTGTTAGTTTTGGCCCGAGTACAGAGAAGTGAGGTTTGGTTACTTATCCTTTTCAGTGAGACATTATTACCGGACAGTGCCTAATTTATTTATTTAAACACACAAACATTGGTACAAGGATGCACCAAATAGATATGCGCCACATAAATCATTCGATTTGTGAGGATTGGGATACTGCTCGGGTGCCCAAACCCAAACAAGTGGTTTTCTTAGGGGGTGCACCTGGAGCCTTTAACCTAAAGGTCTAACCCACAAGGTAGTGGGGCAACGTCAGGAGATGCAGTCCCATGGTAGCCGGTGATCAATAATTGGTCCATACGCCATTCGTTCCCTCAGGATCCTGAAGCCCATGTGCGCGATTGGTTTAGAGTCAGGGTTTTCCAACTTCCCTAAGTAGATCCTCCATATCCACCAACCCCGTTAAAGCGCCGGACATTCGCTTCCCGTCCTCTCATTTTCGTAAAGAACACCGCCGCCACGAGAAGGCAGTGAGTAGGACTTCTCTAGTCGTGGTTGTATGCACGTGACCAAGTGAGAGCATTTTGAGAGGGACAGCTGACTCCCCCCACTCTCGGCCGTACCAGGGCATTTGGAGGCCAGTGCTTAATAGCTGAATTCTGTTTTTATGGCAAGTAATATGGCTGTGATTCATGCATACATAAAATTGCCTTTGAGATGGTGGAGATTTATAGCTCAGGTGGATGATTTGGGTAAAGTTTTGTTCTCTGAGACGGATGGTTTGGTCGTGGACCTTCCATCAGCAGCACAAACTTCAGGTAGAAGTTAAGTGTTCTAATGTCCCCTCATATAGCTAACAGCTTGTCCTGTAGACATCGGTGCTGATTGGTTACTGTCATTGTTTACTTCATTATTTTGGCTGTATCTCCCATGGGTTTCATTTTTGGTCCTATATTTGTCTATAATTTTCTGACTGGTTGATAAACTGGATCGATTTCAATGTGTACGTTGGTTGCTTATTGGCCCGAGTCCAAGCTTCTAAAAATTCTCTGGTTTTTAGAATTGCATCTATCAAGATCTCAACATTTTTACAGTCGAATGTGTCCACATGCATTGATATAAGTGAGGATATGTCATGGCGTTTGACCGCTAGTTGATGTTCATGCAGGCAAAGATGAAGAGGTAGTCTGCTTTGTCCGATGTAGTGTTTTTCGTAGTTGGAACAATTTATTTTGTAGATGATCTTCGGTTTTTCTTTTGTCATTTCGTCTTTTGGTTTGCATAGGATTGATCGCAGTGATTTTGTTGGTTTGTATGCAACACCTATTCCGAAGAGTTTCAGCAATTTCGTTGTAGTTTCTGATATGCTTTTTAAATATGATAGTTTATACTGATTATGACGTTCAGAATAACGATGAAAGCTCCACGACTAAACCATCCACCTCAGAGAACAAAACCACCAAAATAAAGTTGCTTTTTACCCTAGATTATAAACCAACAAGGAAATAAGTGAAATCTTTTGACAAATTTCAAACTATCTTATGACTTATTGATATGATGGAAAGAAAAGCCAATTTTCGATTGATTTACTTATTATGAGTTTGGTTCAACATTACTTCCGTTTTGATTCAATGTAATGATTACCCAATGCAGTATTTCTTTTCTTTTCTCGTATGATATTTTATCCTGTATAATATACGATATTCTTGTATTCCATTGACATGAACTATGCTCAGTATGTGCTTTCCTATAACTCGAAGTATTTTTCATATATGAGATTTCATCCTAATTATTAATCGAAATGGGTGTACAATCAATATATGAGTGTATCTTCTACTAGATTCGTCGTCGTCGTCTTTTGGGGTTAACAAATCATCACTTATACCAGTCTTGTGTTCTTACTTTCGCGTCGTGGAAATCGCAGAGGTCCCTCGTTCCGAGTATAAGTGATAAGCGTTTCCGACATAACAATCAGTGACGACCAGATACAAAAAGTAGCATTAAAAGAGTCAAGACAGTATGCATTCAAACGACAAGTTATAATACTTATGCTACTGATAACACGGCGTCACTCAGTTGTTTATGCAATATTAATCGAATACATTAATCTGATTTAAGCTAAGCTCGAAAGCTCATTAAACCACAAAACCTCCAGTCACTGAGTAATAGTTGGGGTCACACTGCATGTACCTTACTAGAAACCGCGTAGCACCACTAGAATCTAGAGGAAATGAATGTGAAGCTGAAATGCAAGGACTTGTGATGTGTTCATTATATGCTATTTAAACATACAAAAACAATAAACTAACCTGGTTGGACTCCAATGTAGTGGTAGTAGGTTGAGTCGTTTCCTCCCCCATCTGTTGTAAAGACATGCGCAGTGCGTATGCTATCTGATCTTCTTCTGACATAGCTGCCAGGTCGATATCATAGGCAAGGATGAAGATTCGGTATTATTCATTTGCATTGACATAGCCAAAGCCTGCTGAAGCATAGCTTCTTCGGATGTTCCTGACCCAGCTGGTAAAACATAAGCAAACTAAAATTCAAGACCAGATTACAAAAAGTGAGGTAAGCAATGTTGAGTCCAAAGCGACATCGACGGTCTACATTTAGATATTAAGATGAAAATTATAGGATCACAAAAAAAATATTTTGCAAAAAGTATTTCTTTTGAATTACACCTTTCTTGATTATTAGTTTATTTGCTGCTTCAGTCTTACTTAAAATAAGATAGCGTTAATATTCCAGTCGATTGGTTAGGATGCATTTACATAGCCAGGTAAATAAAAAATTCCACTATAGACATGCAATACAATTCTAGCTAATGCAAGTAAGTGGAAGCGTTTTTATGTGCAGAACACAAGTTAGTAGAATCTAGTTATACGGTAGACAAATAGGAAAAAACGGTGTGAACAGTAATGGGACCATTTTTAAATAACTAGGGAAATGGACACACTTCAATGAAACCAACATTCCCTTGGGATACTTTCTGGACCCTACCCATGAAGATTTATCTGTAAAACAAAACGCATTTTTTAATTACCTGGTAACGATGTTGCTACGACTGAAGTATTACTACCATCTCCATTAACCTCATGCTCCTGACGCATGCGCTGGTCTTCCATTGATACTCTGAGGGCATAGAGTAGATCAGGATCCTCTGCCCCATCTAATCCAAACTCCAAGCCTAACCCAGCACCAGCCATCCCAGAACCATCCTCACCAGCAACAACGGGGCTGGTCATCAAAGTATCATGTAAGACTGTCCCCGGGGCAACAGATATGAGGTGAGAACCTGTCCCATCCTTTCCATTCAGTGTGTCGATGAATTCTGATAACTTTTGCTCATTTGTTTCATTCTCACCAAAATTAATAATATCGACATTAACTTTCTCTTTTTTGAGACGCTTGGCAAGCCTAGTTAACTAAACACATATGTTGTCAGTCTAAGGAATGACCTCACTTCTTTTTCATCCTCTAATATAGGACTACCGATGAAACATACGATTCTCATTTTCTGATGTCTCAATTGACGATGACGAAGTGCGAGGTGGGCTATCCTTATTGATGAGCAGAAGATGATGCTGCCTTTTGGCTCCACGAGGTGTAGACGATTGTATATCTTACTCACATCATTTGTTAGCGTACAGAGTACCTCGGTATTTGCAAGGGACAACAAACCAATGGTATTCTCTGGATTGCGTTGGCGTTTGCTCTGGCAGATCAAACCAACAGCATCATTTTGCGCCTGCAGACGTGTTGGGAAGAAGTCCCCATTTCGCATGTAATCACTATTATCAACTCTGAATTTTGAAAATATTAAATAAAGAGAGCCAATTTACGCTATGATCGTAGCTTCTTGAGACATTAGGCAGACAATCTAAACTTGGCTCTTTGAATTCAATCCCCAATATCTGCGTTCAATCACGACTGTAAAAAAGTAACTAAACAACGCCAAAAATAAAATTTTCTAAACTTCAGACCTGTAACACTGTAAAGCGTCAACAACAAAATAATTATAAACTTTAACAAATTCATTGAATGTCTTGTAAAAGTCACTTTTTACCACGGTGCATTACTTCGAAACTCCTCCTGTAGTTCATCTAGGGCTTATTCATTTGTTATTCACCTGAACATATGAGTGTTGGTATATAATAGGAACCAAATACATATGCCCCACATAATAACAACGAGAATGTTAAGAGGTAGAGAATGTAAAGTGAGTATAAGAAAAACGAGAACGACAACCAACAGAAATTAGTGTATGAGAGTGAAATGATTATAATAGGAAAAGCAGTTCAGTTAACAGAAGTACAAATAGATAGAATTATTTCGTGTGGAAAATTTGTCTTCATTTTTTATTAAGAAAGTTGCAGAAGGATCACCACTGACGTTAAATCTGAGCCATATCTGATAACGTCTTGAGCCAGTGTTGCACAATCTCGAGGACCCCAACCAAGAAGACGTGGGGGACCAACAGAGACAATCCATGTATAGCTTTCTTTCATAACGATATGTCATATACTTACCATCCCTCTGCTTTTTCCAATTAGTTCCAACGCCAGCAAATGGTGCACAATGAAGAATTCTCTGGAACGACACTCGTAGAAAATGCCGGAGTCGATGTTTCAAGATAGTGAGAGTAACTGAATCATCGTCACTGTGACCGAACCCACAATACCGAATCCCTGCATTCTTAACATGGTGTTGCCACTGGATATCAGCAACCCTTCGGAGATAACGATCAAACACAGAGTCGTCTCTACATCCTCAACTCGGAGAGACCAGGTTTCACAAGAATGAACCCTAACTGCTCTCACGTTGCAGATCCGACTTCTGCGACCTGATTAGCATCATAAAGGTGCTAAAGATGGCCCAGATTGAAATAAGTCTCTCTGGCTTTCACTATACGTGAATTGATCTCATCACTTACGCCACCATCAGCACTTATGCAGCTACCTAGATACACGAACTTCTCAACTACTTCTGTCTGCTCACTATCCGAGGTGAGTGCAGGAATGTTGCTCTGTCAATCTTTTAAAAGTACTTTGCACTTCGAAAGCGTGAAGCACATACCACACATACGGACATTGATTGCCAACTGATTGAGTGCGGATTGCATGCCTTGGGTATCGTCATACATCAAGACAATATCACCCACATACTCAAGGTCGAGAAGTCTTTCTCCAGGCAACAGATCAACACCGCCATTACTTACATCCATCAGAGCTGTTTCCAGAATGTCATCGATGGCAGAGTTGAAGAAGAGTGGTGAGATTGGCCACTGCTTGGATGAAGCATTGGCGAGAGGTGGTTGTATAACCTCACTCTAATCGAGGTGCTTGTTTATAGGGATTTGAAGGTCATAAGAAACTCAGGTACGCCCTTCTTCAATGGACAAATCCAAAGAATAGTCCTGTCCAACGAACCGAAGACAGCCCTATTGACACGAAACACTACGATTGTTGGCCTGTGATAAGTATGACGGTGTTCTAACATTTGGTAGAGGTTGACAATATGATCAATACTTCCTCAACCAGAAAGAAAACCAGCCTGCTCCTCTCAAGTTAACCTTTCTCAGTCTTTGAACAATCTGAGAAATATGACGGAAGCCAAAGGTTTGGTCGCGTTTGAAAAGATGCGTAACCCCCGACAGTTGTAACAGAAATATGGGAACAACTATCAGTACATTCCAAGACGTTGGAATACTCTCTAATCGCCAGACATTTGTAAACGATGCAGTCAGTTCCATTACCAGTACGTCATCACCATCTTCAAAATGGGCTCGAGGTAAGCAGTCCAGACATCGATAGTGAGGTTAGATATTGTACACCTACCAACACAGAAGAAAGACGTGCGGCGGAGGTGTTAAATAACTAACTCAACTATTGTACAATTTAATATTTTCTGCTATATGCTTTATTTCGCTATAGTATAACAGTACAGCCACATTAACCCCATTTTATGCGGGAATTCATGATTGTGACTTGCCGAATTTTTAGCTTATTGGGAATTTTTAGCAACTTACAACAATCAGTTTCATTTTAGAAGGGACAGGAAGCTAGGTGGCCCGTGTTAGTCCTGGTGATGGTGCCCTTGTAACAGCTTAGGTTGGTTGGTTAAGAGTTGACCCCAAACAACCAAGCATATGCCAAAACAGTATTGTTCAAGTATTCATTCACTTCCTTATTTTTATAAGCGTTATATTCCCTATTATCTTATATTGAATGTTGAGAGCCTTTGTTTGTCTGAACAGATAATCCCACGCTCCACTGTGACCGCGCTAAGATCGAAATAAAGACCTATTCACTACTTGTCTGGTTTCTTCTATCAATAGCACGAGGGTTACTTAAGGCACGAAAGTGGTGAGCCCTTTTTGAACACAAATTTAACCTCATTTCTGTTATTAACATTTTTTTACTTAATCGTAAAAGTAGACCTGATTATCCGTAAACTAATTTGAGTATATAACTAGTTTATTCCGTATTATCTTAAGTTATTCGTGTTATAGTAACCATTTTTCGTGCTAACTTTATTGCTATATTTGTCACATACCTCATGTCAGACTCAATAGAAACCCATAATCTGGAGGATTTGTCACCAGTGGAGATAGACACTGTTATGACTACGAAATCCCGACTTCCAGAATTTGATCGTAGTGATCCTGAGTTGTGGTTTGCTCAACTAGAGCATTATTTCACGAGACACAATATCAAATCTGAAGGGATTCGCTATAGAGACTTGTGTTCTATCCTTCCTCCTTCAGTCGCCAAAGAAGTCCGTGACTTGATTTTAGATCCACCATCACCACAACCATACACCATCTTAAGACGAGAGATAATGAACCGTTTATCATTATCAGATAGTCAAAGAATCCAAAGACTTTTTCAAGGTGAAACACTAGGTGATCGGTCGCCGTCACAGTTTTTACGTCACCTCCAAGTCTTAGTGGGTGATAACACAGTGGGTGAAGCAGTCCTAAAACAAGGATGGATACAAGCTCTCCCATGCTACGTCCAACACTGTTTGGATGCACAAGATCCTGAAACCTCATTATCTCATTTAGCGCGTATAGCCGACAGAATAATGGAAAGAGGTCCTCCAACTGGATCAGGCACAATAAATCACACACAAAAAGTAGAATCAGCAAAAGACCCCGTAATAGAAGGACTCATTGCGAGTGTTAAGAGTCTCACTGAGGCTGTCACCAGAATGCAAATGGGTCATAGAAACAGGAGCAGGTCACCACAACGACCACGATCCAAGTCACAAATGTCCAGACAATCTGGGCAGTTTTGTTGGTACCACTGGAAGTTTGGTGTCAACTCAACCAAGTGCATGCAACCATGCGCCTGGCCTAAGCATAATTCTAAGACAGCGGGAAACGAGTAACCCCTCCCCAGGTCGCGACGACTGAGGAGGGGCGCCTAAACAGTCGCTTGTTTTATGTTAGAGACAGAAACTCTGGCTTGAATTTCTTGGTGGATACTGGCGCTGCTCTTAGCATCATCCCTCAAAATAAAACTGAGATTAGTCGAGAAACATCATCAATTACACTTCAAGCTGCAAATAAAACTAAAATTGCGACATTTGGGCAGAAAACTTTAACCCTAGATTTGGGGTTCAGGAGGCAATTCCCTTGGGTTTTCACGGTAGCCGACTTAGATCTGGCAATACTGGGGATGGACTTTCTAGAGAGATACGAATTTCTAGTTGACACCAAGAAACGGCGATTAACACTAAAAGAAACTTCGTATTACACAAAAGGCAAAGAAAGTCACATCAGCTCTCTTAACTTGATTCAAACTCCCCAGTAACAACAGCGAAATTCCAAGATATACTCGCGGAATTTCCAAACTTAACTAAACCAAACCCACAGCCTTCTAAAGACAAACTAAAAGTAAGTCACACTATCAAAACCGAAGGTGCACCGGTGTTTGCAAAACCCAGGAGACTAGCACCAGATAAGCTCAAAATCGCTAGGGCCGAGTTTGATTATATGCTACAATTGGGTATTATCCGTCCCTCTGATAGTCAATGGGCATCCCCTTTGCATATGGTCCCAAAGAAGAATGAAGGTGACTGGCGACCGTGCGGGGATTACAGAGCCCTAAACCGTCAAACCGTACCAGATAGGTACCCAATACCTCATATCCAAGATTTCACCAACGGTTTACAGGGTATGAACATATTCACTAAAATTGACTTAGTCAGGGCATATCACAATATCCCGGTGGCTGATGAAGATATTCCCAAGACAGCTATTACTACACCCTTTGGCTTATTCGAGTTTGTACGCATGCCATTCGGCCTGAGAAATGCGGCACAGACATTTCAAAGATTCATAGATAACCTACTTCGAGATATGCCATTTGCGCAGGGGTATATAGACGACTTGTTAATTGCCAGCCCCGATTTGCAATCACACGAACAGCATGTACAAGCAGTGTTGAAAAGACTGGATGAACATGGAATAAACATACATCAAAGTAAGTGTGTTTTCGGTGTTCAAACTTTAGAATTTCTCGGTCACACAATAAGCCCAGAAGGGATTAAACCTATCAAAAAAGAAGTGGATACCATCAAACAATACCCCGTACCTAGTTCTCTAACACAACTGAGAAGTTTTCTAGGCCTAATTAACTTTTATCGCAGATTCATACCAGGTTGTGCACAATTAATGCAACCTTTGACAGATTCACTTAAAGGAAAACCAAAAGAATTCAAACTGTCTTCTGACGCCATCGAAGCTATTAAACAGCTTAAAGATAAACTGGCTCAAGCAACTACGTTGATATATCCGAATTCTCTTTCCCCACTTGCTTTGATGGTGGATGCTTCAGATAAAGCAGTAGGCGGTACCCTTAA